TGAGTACACGTACATAATACGTATAGTAGTCTTAGTACTTCTATGATAATGTAGTACTTATTCATGTAAGTACCTACTATAGTCTATAATATAGTCTATAATATTATTATGCAGTATGTATACCAGCATGGCTTAACGACTGCGGTATACCTATTGCTATATTATTATTATTAGTAGGTATAATACACTGATATTCGTGAAATATATTATTTGAGGGTCGAATAAATTTAAACCGAAAGACTTGGTTGTAGAAATAATAATAAAATCGACTTCTGACGTACGATTTCGACTAGCAACTGCGTGAAACACCAACAGTTTTTCAATTGTTCGTCGTCGGCGAGCAGACACCTTCTGAACCCCTAATACCAGATTCTCATTCTACCGACCAGAAGTACCAATAGCGACGTCCTGCATTATTTTATACATTTTATTTACTAAACTACTAAAGCGTATTTAGACTCTTAGAGCATTCGTTGTTTTTCCTCCCGATTTCTAAAAATCGAGTTTTGTTTTGAGAAACACTGTAGGGCGTAAGCCTATTAACTCATAGTTCATAACTACTTACAGTATACTTAAAATAGGCTTTCATTGGTCTCGTAATTTCCATGAAAATATTTTATTGTTGACTCAAAACTATAACTCATATCATATATATACTAGTATTATTCCGTTCCTATCACAAAGTTATTTTATTCGTAAACATTGTTTAAATTTAAACAAAAAAGTTATTTTGAAATTTAGAAATTTAGAAATTTTCAGTTTAGCAACAATGTAGCATTGATTATTATATCATATATTATTAGTTGTTATATTTAAAAAATAATAAATGTAGGTATAGCTATTATAGTTACATAGTATAATATCTCGACAAAATAGATGGCAGTAGGTCTACAATAATATTATGCATGCAATAGATGTATAATGTATATGTATATTATAATTATTAATTTTATATTTTTTTAGTATTTTGTAATATCATCACTTTAAAATAAATAAAATAAAAAATTCAAAAATGTTAAAAGGCTATAAATAGCTTATAATTAGTCTAATTAATATTGTACACATTTAAAATGTTGGACAAGAATGATTAAAGAATTTTCCGATACATATCGAATACCGATACATAGATACTTATGTTTTGTCACAATGAAGTTTCAAAATTTAACCACTTAATTTGCCTATACAATTCGCCTTAAAACTGAAAATTGAAATAGACAAAATATTCTAATGAGTAATATATAATAGTATATAATAGTATATGTATATCTATATATATAAAACTGAAATCAAGCAAAAGAGGAAATCTCTTCGAAACTTCTTCTCCAATTGTCATGCAGTTTTTTTAAATGAAAGAGGATATCACAGAGCAGGTTTTAGGCATAAATAAAGTCCGATAATGTTAGTCAATAATTAGTTATCTATACATATAAAATCCAAATACCACTGACTCACTGATCGCTGTATCTCAAAAACTACTCAACGTACGGACTTGAAATTTGGAATAGAGGTTCTTCTCATATTTTCACCGTGCAATAAGAAAGGATTTGCCAAAATTCGCTTTTTAAATAGGTGCTCAAACAGGGACATTGAGATTCACGATGGAAATTGGAAATTTTATTTTATTTATTAATAGTTGCCATTGGTCACAGTCTACAGTAGAAATTAGCACTTATTTATTGGTTGCCATTGGTTATTCGGGCAGATCAGGTACAAGCTTGCATCAAATCGAATTATTGAACATTGCCTACCAGGTGGCTGAGTTGCACTTACCGCAGCAAGTTACACCCAAAAGGAGTTCAACAATCATAATTTTTTTAAGAGTTGCGATTTTTTACGAGCAACAAATTAGTTATTTTAATCCACCGTATTATATCAAAATAAACTTGGTATAACTTTGATACTTTAGGGTTAAATCATACACTAACGTACCAACAGCACGGGGTCTGCGATCTACCGCCGGTAGATTGCCTACCTGATAATGTACTGCTGCGATTCAGAATTTTTATTCCGGGCAACGGAAAAGATAAGATACATTTTGAACACCATACACCGAATATTGAATAACGAATTGAACAAAGTTTGAGTCATATTGAGTTGATACATTTAACGGGCGACGAAGTGCACGGGATCAGCTAGTATAATATATAATGGTAATCTAATTTATAGAGATAGTTACTCTCCCGGTTTACAGATTGCAAACTTTATAATTAATAACGAACTAATTGACTATTTATTTTTCTATAGTTGATTATTTTACATTTATCAATACAATTTTACAACTTATACAAATTCAAAATGTCATAATATTTGTCTAATTCATTACAAAATACCAAATGGACATTGCTCTTTTTATTTTTTAGAGGAGGATGTTGCACTATTGCAGTTTATGCCTACGCTGTTACTTTTGGTAACGTTCACGCTTCTGATTGATAAACACTATTATAATAAGTAAATTTTCCTGCCTGTAGGCTAGGCTGGATGAGTTAATAATTTTTTTAAGTTAATATAGAACAATTATTTAACTTAACAAGCTCGATGCCAACTCTTAATTTTTAAATCAGAGTAGGTTATTTAATATTTATTTGTATTAAGCTAAGCATATTATAGTGCTTAATGCATTAATGCAAAAACCATAGAATCTGCTTTGAATGTAGTTTCACTATCAAATGTGCCTTGAATAGATCTGGCAGCACTATGGCTACGTTTTCAACATTATCTCAAATGGCTTTAAATAATTTTGACCACAAATAATACAGTGAGTTACTCTTTGTTGTCGATTGGGCCAGGCAACTCCCTTTAATGTTGTATCTTCATTACCAATTCAATAAGTATCATCGTTTATTAGATTTAATTAATAGGTTCTATATTATTATTACTTATTACATATTAATCCTATGTTTTATAAATATCTGTTATGATTATTTATTGTGGTATTTAAATATTTTAAGATAAAATTAATCAAAAATAATTTTCCTCTACGGTAACAGCCTGCAATAGATGACAACAATTTAATATCTTTAGTATCGTCCTTTAGGAGAATAATTTCAAGAGTTTCTTTGTCGAGTACAGCTTGATTTTCTTCAACTACAACAATATTGGTGTATAGAAATGTGTGGGTAAACTTTATAACTGCCATGTCAAAACCATTTTAAATCAAATAATATTTTCAGTGTAGGTAATTTGATTAACAATTGCAGGATCAATTTTTTGACAAATATCTAACTCTTTGTTGGAATAAACAGAAATAAAATTTATTTTATACATTTTATAAATTATTCAGACATTTTGGAGTATCTCAAGTACGTTATACACAGAGCACACAGAACTGATACTATAATTTGTTCCAAAATATTTGTACTGGTGTAGTGGTGTACTTTTTAATGTGTACGATAAAAATATGCATAATGCTACTTCTGCAGTGTGTACTGATAATACCATGGGATTTTTCGAGATAAAATGGCAAAACGGGTGATTAGAGAGCCTATAAAAGAATATATATTATAATATATATATATATATATTCTTATATAGGCTCACTAAGGGAAATCATTTATTGTTCGGTAATATATTAAGTAGGTACCTACCTATATAATATATTAATATAACCTACCTTACAGACGTTTCGCACAAAATGCCTTTAATAATGTGTGACTTATATCTATATATAAAATAATAATGTTATATTATATTATAGAAAACGCCATCAGAATTTGTATTAGCTCGATTAAAATAAAATGTTTAACAATATAATCAATAATCAAACATAATAATATAGTTAACATATTATTAGGTACCTACATTGCCAAATGGTAAATTATTATAATTAAGTTACATAAATTAAATTTATTAAGAAGATGTCACACCCATATGTGTTGTCTCTGACTTACAAATGTACGTCATAGCAAAAACTGTTTTGCGCGGGACAACTTTATACGATATTTACGATACTTACGATATTTGTTGTAGAACTACCAAATTTTAACAACACGTAAAGAAAAACTTTATCTGTGCAACAGAGGTGCTCTTTTTTTAATAGCACTATCCAATCGTTTTTTATAAGCAAATGAAAAAAAAAAAAACAAAATGTTTTGGAGCAAATAACTTTTATTGTATTTATGTTATCTAAAATATAGGTACCCTGTTTCATAGATAAATTTCCACCCTATACGTTCAAAAATTTTGGTCTCACTATTACAAAAACAGAAAGATAAAAATTGTCCCACGAAAAACAGTTTTTGCTATGTCGTACGCATTTGTATTACGGAGACAATACATGCGGGTGTGACATGCTCTTAACTATAAAATATTTCGGGAGGGGTTCAAACACCCAAAACCCCCCTAATATACGGCCTTGCATAACCCACTCCCACGTTTGTATAAGGCAGCCATCTTATAAAATAGCTATAAATTCACGCCGCTACTGGCTGAGACACTCCGCACTCCATGGAATCATTGAAAGGACCACAACCTGAACCGTTTGTATCTGCGTTGTCCTTTCATTAATTTAGCTCATTGAACTCACATATCGAACCAGTTTTAAATTCCCATCTCGTACATATACAAATTAGAATCTATACATCACACCCACCACCGTTATAAATAACGGCCACCCTTTACCACCATAACAACAGATTCCCGGCTCCCATCTTTTAAACTTTATCATTGTATATTTTACTCTAATACACATCGGTACTCAGCAGTATAGGTAGGTACATATCATTGTTATAATGATAATATTGATATGAATATTAATATGATAATATATATTTTACAATAAATTATAATTGTACATTTATTTTTAGTAAACATTGTGTTATTGAATTTCTGAAATAGTGCTGGCCATTTTAATTTTTCAACAGTTAATATTTGTTTACATCCAAACAAATTGCCAATTGTTTTATATTGTACGGTACTGTTCGTCTGTGATATTTGGTGTTCTAACTTGAATTCTAACATACTTATACTTATTTATTAATTTTGTAATTTATTAACTAATAATCATGCGTGAAATTTGTCACTTGCAAGCTGGCCAATGTGGAAATCAAATTGGTGCAAGGTAATATATATACAAAATTATAGACCCAACTTCAAGTTCCCATTAGCACAAAATAATTGTAATATTATATATTGCCATAAACATACAAAGTTGCATAACTATAATAAACTACGATAATTTATTAATATGAATAATTGTTTAGTTTTGGGAAGTAATATCCGATGAGCATGGCATTGATCCAACCGGATCATATCATGGAGATTCCGATCTACAGTAGAAAAATCAATGTCTATTACACTGAAGCACTTGGTAATAATCTTTATTAGCAAATAATCTTTATATCTTTATTAACAGTATAATACAATTCGTATGCCGAGTTTCATACAACATTGATTAATTTAATAATAAAAAGCTTGATATTTTCTTCGACGAACGGAAAAACATTGAATTATATATTATGTGTTTGGTGGTCGCCGTTCAAATGTAACAAAAGTCAAAAACAAATATTAACAAATTTTAATATATCTAAAAGTACGGTTTATCGCGTAGGTAACTCAAAATTGGTTAACAAAATACTATTTATTCATTTGTTAGGGGGCTGCAAAGTAGCATATTTTAAGGAGTACTATTTAGGCAATTCGTGTGACATAAATTAATACTGTATCCATGTGTGAGTAGTAGATGAACATTAGTGTGTGTAATCCGTTTCGTTCCCGAGAATCGCTGCACCTCGAGTCGGGCAACTCTCACACGCGCACGCACATGTTATTATATACGAATGGATCTTCGCAGGAAAAAATTTTTTGTGTCCGTATATAATATTGCCTACATTTAGCCCCTTTTTTGCAGTTATCAAAATGTGACAACATTGATAAACCGATAACATAATTTTCATTATAAATTATAATATTATATTTTATTATATTAATTATAATTAAAATAGTTAAATACATTAATAGTTAATAAGTTATTAAAAAACACAATATCGTAATTTAAAATTTAAAAATACACAATTCATTGAGAATACAGTATAAATGTACAACCTATTTACGTGGAACATTATTTTAAATTTTCAATCTTTAGCTATAAAAGGTAAATTATATAATACAATTTTAAATTTGATAAATATTTTCAAAATTCGAACTAGTACCCAGATAGCAATTGTGTAATGATATTATTATTATTATAGTACACAAATATTATTATAAAAATATTGTTATTATAATAACATAACTATCCAACTAACATGATATTTTTACATTATAAATTATAATTAAAATAGTTAAATACATTAATAGTTAATAAATTTAATAATACACAATTAAAAAAAAAACACAATATTCATTATTCACTTACGATCGTCATTTAAAAGATACAGTTCAACAATATATTAAGAAATTCATTTTCTTTTAGGGCTATAAGAATGATCGTCATATGAATGAACGTTTAAAACACTTGTATTATATTTTAGTAAGGATTTTCTTATTATATTACCTTCACTCGACGACAATTGATGAAATTCAAGTTTATTATTTTTATTTTTAGTAAAGAAACGTGGTTGTTTTTCAATATTTTTTTTATGTTAATTGTATTTATATCTTCTGTTTGCATAGGTTTTGATTCGTTTGTAAGTAATTCAATAATTTTATTGCAATGTTTTAAAATATGTTTTTTTGTGTACTGTAATAATAATAATATCATTACACAATTGCTATCTGGGCATTAGTTCAAATTTTGAAAATATTTATCAAATTTAAAATTTAATTATATAATTTAACTTTTATAGCTAAAGATTGAAAATGTAAAACAATGTTCCACGTAAATAGGTTGTACATTTATACTGTATTCTCAATGAATTGTATATTATTAAATTTTAAATTACGATATTGTGTTTTTTAATAACTTATAACTATTAATGTTATTTAACTATTTACTTACATTTAATATGAATAAATATAATATTATAATTATAATGGAAATGATGTTATCGGTCTCTCAATGCTTATTCACATTTTGATAATGCAAAAAAAGGGCTAATGAGGCAATATTATTATAGGACACAAAATAATTTTTTCCTGCTGAAGATCCATTCGTTATTATATAGCAAGAAATGAAATATATTTTGTTTGCATGACTATAAAACTACTAAAAGCGGTAGTAAATTAATCATACTTCCGAAGTTCGATTGTAATTTCGAAAAAATGGTTGAATTTTTAAACTTCTAGACTATGCTTCTTAGGAATCACTTTTTTTAATTTAAAATCAGATGTGCCCAAAATAAATACAAATGTAATTCAATTATTTCATGGGATTTCTAAAAAAAAAATGGTTATTTTAAGGTAATTTTAAATTGAAAATTGAAAATCGACTTCCTAAGAAGCCTAGATATTTTATCGATAAATTCAAACATGTTTAAAAAATTTAAATCTGACATTCCTAAGTATGTGTAATTGACCACCACTTATTGGTCTAAAACGTATGAAAAATACGTGCGTTGCAGCCTCCTTAACGTTAGGTTGTAATTGCAACTATAATGTGTAGCGTGAAATCGTTAAGAAAGTAATCGATATAATCGAATAAAGATTAATTGATATATCCTAATCAGTAAAAACGATTGGTTTTTTTATTATTTTACTACTGTATTATTATGTAAGTACCTATAGTAGCTAGTACCTACTAAAAAAATTCGATTCTTACATAATATTATATAATATGGATTATACGAATAAATGAATAATAGTTGTATTAAATATTTGAACACAATATTAATGACAATAGATACATGGTATACCAATATAGGTATATCGAATAGGTTATATAGGTGGTATATACAACATTTAAATAAAAGCTATTACGTTATAATATTATGAACCATTTTTATGATTCGACGTAGTTAATTAAAATGTACATAAAAAAAAAATGTACAGTAATATTTTAATCTACCAGGTGGTAAGTATGTTCCTCGAGCAGTGCTAGTAGATTTGGAACCTGGAACAATGGATTCGGTAAGATCTGGCCCTTTTGGTCAAATATTCCGACCAGATAACTTTGTTTTTGGACAATCTGGTGCAGGCAATAACTGGGCCAAGGGACATTACACGGAAGGTGCTGAGTTAGTGGATTCAGTTTTAGACGTAGTCAGGTATATATCAATATAATAATTACATTATTCGATTTTTAACCTCCACATTGATTATATCGTAAACAATATCGTCTTTCAGGAAAGAGGCAGAGAGTTGTGATTGCCTGCAAGGGTTTCAACTGACTCATTCACTAGGTGGCGGAACTGGTTCCGGAATGGGCACACTTTTGATATCAAAAATTCGCGAAGAATACCCGGATAGGATCATGACTACATACAGCATCGTTCCATCACCCAAGGTATAGTCATCCCCCAAAATGTCTTTCAAGTTTTTTAAACTGAATGAATATGTTGGTTTCTATAATCTAATCTACCATATCCGGCACAGGTATCCGACACAGTCGTGGAACCATACAATTCCACGTTGTCCGTCCACCAGTTGGTAGAGAACACCGACAAAACATTTTGCATCGACAACGAAGCACTGTATGATATATGCTTCCGGACGCTAAAGCTCACCACTCCTACGTACGGTGACCTGAATCACTTGGTATCGGCGGCAATGTGCGGCGTGACCACTTGTTTCCGGTTTCCCGGGCAGCTTAATTCAGACCTCCGGAAGTTGGCCGTCAACATGGTACCGTTTCCGCGTTTGCACTTCTTCATAACTGGCTTTGCGCCACTTACATCCCGTGGAAGCCAACAGTACCGTGCGCTCACTGTCCCGGAATTGGTGCAGCAGATGTTCGACGCCAAGAACATGATGGCAGCGTGTGACCCCCGACACGGCCGATACCTGACGGCAGCTAGCATATTCCGGGGACGTATGTCCATGAAAGAGGTTGATGAGCAGATGCTAAATATACAGACCAAGAACTCCAGCTACTTCGTCGAATGGATACCGAACAACACGAAGACTGCAGTGTGCGATATACCACCGAGGGGCCTTAAGATGTCGGCCACGTTCATCGGCAACACAACAGCCATCCAGGAAATGTTTAAGCGCGTGTCTGAACAATTTACATCCATGTTCCGGCGCAAGGCATTTTTGCACTGGTACACCGGCGAGGGTATGGACGAGATGGAGTTCACCGAAGCTGAGTCAAACATGAATGATCTGGTATCCGAATACCAACAGTACCAGGACGCGACGGTCGATGAGGAAGGAGAAGGAGATGACGATGATGAGGATGCAGAAGCGTAAATCCTGATCGTCTATATTCGATAAAATCTAATTATGAAATAAAACAATATTCATGGCAAATTTGTTAATGTTTTATGAATTTTCCAATTTTATGTTTTTTTAAAGCTATTATTATTTTTTTACGACTTTCTTGGTTGTACTTAAATAGAAAAACTTGTTGTCTACTGAGTACTGACGGTTATTTATTAACTATTCAAGACGATAATGGGTTCCACCAGTCCCACTGAACATTGGAAAAGAGATTTAGTGACACCTCACACCTATGACCTATAATGGGTACAACTATATAGATATAAGTAGGTGCGCTAATTCATAAAACTGCCCAGTATAGTATTCTAAATACATGTTTCAATTAAAAATAATAATCTATTGAGCTTAAAACGTTTTAAAAATGTTGATTAAAAAATAAAAATTATTTTGTTATACCGAAAAAAGTGCACTAAATTATCATACCTATAGATAATAACCTAATTCTTAAAATGTGTAGGTAGATACTGTGTATTTTTGGGTTCTATAAGTTTAAAATATAATAGTATACCTACCGAGCAGGTTATTTTGATTCAATAAAAATTTAACTCTATATTATTAAATATTAATACATTTAAGTTACAAGTATAACTGGTATATCAATTATCAATATAGTTGTAACGACTTAGCCAGGCGCAGATCCAGTGGGGTCCGGTGCTATGGTGCCATAGCACCTCCCTTGGCATGTTGCTCCTTAGAAAACAAATACTTTATACAACATACAACTAGGCTCGGAACATTTCTACACAAAATTGTAACCTTTTGAATATTAGGTACATTCATTTTTAGGACTAAAAAAATTCTTACCATCAGGATGGTGTATACTGTATACAGAATACGATACATTCATTTTAGCACCCCCCCCCCCCCATCATAAAAAATACTAGATACAATAATATGCA